ATTAATAGAATTGAAACCAAAATATGACATTAACATAATTGAATGTTGAAGTTTACATAATTGAACATGACCTCAATCTTGTTACAAAATGTGGAATTAAACCAAAATGACACTAAACTAAAATATTGTTACACAATGACTACTACTACTACAAGCACTACTACAAAAGGTGTACTGAATATGAAAAACATCGTCATCGTTGGCTCAAAACAGGTTATGTTGCTTGACTTGGTTCATCATATTTAGGTTGTTCTTCTTGAATTTTTGTTACCTAACTTGTTTTAGTTTGAGTTGTTTCTTCAGTAAGTGACATTGCGAATTTGCAAGTAGCTTTGTTGTGTATATTCATACGGCATCGACTGCACTTAATTCCAAAATTTTCCGGCTTCAGTTATGTCTCATATTTCACCATTACTGTTTCCTCCCTGTTCTTTTTATTTTTGGGACTCACATGTTATATTTTTATGGGTGGTGGCTAAAGATTAACGATTTCTGTTTTTGTCCATAGAGCATCCCCATTGACTTGATAAATAATTGGAGCATAGCAAGCTTCATAGAAGTCCCTCTTGTAACGTTCAAGTACAAAATATTCAATTTCCAAATGTTGATCCTTCCTGCAAGAAATTGCATGACAACATGGTAGCCATGTCAACATACATCTCCTATAACCTTTCTTGTAAATCATACATATCCCCAAGTTATCATTTTTCTTAAATTTCAAATTCATGCTATAATGTATAACATATGTTCTCATACCATTTTTAAAATTATGATTTGAAGCAAAACATGTCTCAAATTCCCACTTGTAATCCTCCATGCTTTTTAGAAGCTAGAAGGTTTGAAAATCTTCCTTTGAACTATTTCCATCTTCACTGTCATACTCATTAAGTAACTAATCATTATTATATTATTCAATGTCATTCAATCCTTTAAAGTTTGCCTTTAACTCATCATCTTCATTCATATCATCTTGTAAATCACTTCCTTCAACACTACATTCATATTTCCTTGTTTGTTGACTTGGTTTTACAACCTTGCCTTTTCCTTTCCCTTTTCATTTCTCCTTTTTCTTTATTTTTCCTTTACTTTTCCCATTATTTTTCACTTTTACTTTAGCTTTACCTTTACTTTTACCTTTCCTATTAACCTTTTACTCTTCACCGAATTCCCCTTTGTCAATTGTAAGTTCTTGATCAATACCAATATCACCCTCTAAGTCTTCAAAGTTTACATCCAAAGCACTGTCTTCACTTGAACCACTTGTTTCATGGTTACAATCTAGTCTCACATCTTCCTCCTAGTTACAATATAGTCTCAGATCTTCCTCGTGGTTACAATCTAGTCCCCCTCATCTTCCTATGGGTTAAAATTAAGTCCCATGTAATAAGCCTGAATGAAATTACTGGTCCCTCACTCGGTAGAGTCTCCTACAATATCAATGGTCTTTCCCTTATTTAAGTGTTCTACAAACTCAGTGGCCCCTCCCTCATTTAAGTCATCGACTATGTTAGTGTTCCCTTCATCCAAATTCTCTCTTTCAACATTATTTACTTCCTCCAATAATATGGCCCCTTCATATAGTTGGTCCTTTTCAACACTATTCACTTCCTTCAACTTAGTGTTCATTTCATCCAATTTTTCCTTTTCAACATTTTTCTCTTCCATGCAGTTAACTTTCACATTTGTCTTTTCTACATATGTCTTTTACACACAGTTGACTTTCACCTTTAGATTTTCCACATTTTTCCCTTTCATACAATTGACCTCCACATTTGTCTTTTCCACATTTATCTCTTCCACACAATTGACTTCATTCAACACAACACATTCTTCATCTTTTTCATTGGGCCCTACAACATTATATTCAAGAGAAAGGACTGGCTCTTCAATTATATCAGGTTGTGACAATGGATGGAGAATATATAAATTCACATTCTCAGTCCTCAGTGCAATGTTTTTCATCCTATTTGCTCCTAAGTCATATTTCAATGGAACCATCTCACTAATGTACATTGCATCATAATATCATATGCTCTCCACATTTAGGTATCATAATATCATATGCTCTCCACATTTAGGTATCATAAATCCTTTAAACCACTTAACACTTCAAAATAACTCCAGAAATCATGGTATCATTGTGAAACAAACTCTAACCCCCGTGATGTATAATACACCCATGCCTCTCATCCATAACATGTTCATGCAAAATAAGGTAGAAAGGATCAATGAGGAAGATGGAAAAGAGAAAGGTTTGCATTTTTAACAAGTTCAGGAATAAGTATTCGTACCTTGTGAATAATGGAGATGAATAATGAATGGGAGTATTTGTTCCTCTTCAAACGCATTTGAATGTTGATGATTTGTCTTCCTTCAAACACATCAGTCTTTTGGTAATCAAGAGTTTCTGGTTTTCTTCGTCTTCTCTTTGTCTCCTATGCATGTGTTTCAAGTTTGATTTTCAAAATGAATTGAACTAGGTTTTAGGTTGTTAAGTATTTCATTTCAAATAGTAATAACTTCAAAATAAACAAAAAAAAACATGTCAGGTAACTTAATACCACCTAGATTGACATGTATGCACAACATAACATTTTTTCACAAATTTTACGAGAAATGACCAACTTGACTAACAGAATAATTTTTGAGGGATTAAAGAAGAACATTAATTAAATAAGGGACTAAAGTGAAATCTTAAATTAAGTTAAGGAACCAAAAGATGCATTAAGTCTTATATTTAATTTATTACCCTTATTTTTAAGATAACAAATTTATTAGAATTAATGTTATTTAAAATAAATAAATGAAAATAACAAAGTATTATGATTATTATTAAAATGAACATGTATTTAGTTCATTTATTGATTTTAGTTGCTATGGAGAAAAATAAATAAATGAAAAAAATAAAGTTTTATAATAATTACAGTTTTTGCATGTGAGTACAATTCGAGTGGTAAACGAGCTTCTGCTAAGGAATGGAGATTAGAGAAATATCGAGTTCGATTCCATGTGAGAAAAATGCTTGCTAGTGTCATATGACCTCTCGGCACGAGCTCTAGATTACTAGGGCCTCATTCCTCTAGGAACCAGAGTGAGAAAGCAAAAAATATTCATTCTCCATTGGAAGCGGGGGTGGATGGTCAATTATTACTCTTGACTGAATTTAGAGATCGAGACGAGGCTAGTACAAGGAGCCAGGAGAGAGGTGATGTCTAATAATGCTTAAACTTACCCTCACCTGCATCTTATCATGTTGTCATGCCTACGTAAGCCAGACTTAAGTCTTGAAATTTTTTACATGCCATAATTGAGGTTTACAAAATCTTGGCTCAATCTATTATGACCTTTAACTATTATGTTTATTTATTTGAGAGAGATTTTTTTGTGTTTGCAATATTGTTGAGAGGGATAAGATTGCCTATAATAATGTTTGGGAATCTTTTAATGCACCCCATTAATCTCTAGTGCATTGCATGAAAATACAAAAATGCCCCAAGATTCCAAAAATGCATTTCCGGACGCACCATAAACATATACAATTCATTTATTTTTGAGCCAAACCTCATTTTTATGACTAAATTTATCAAATAACATGAATGACTATTTGTTTACTGTTTTCGTGTGTGCTTGGTCACTTTGGCGAGTTCCTAATTATCCGCCATATTTCCTGCTATTCCGCCAACATTGGATTTTCTTGGATGTAACTTCTCTCATCCACTCACAACAAATCAGCTAGCATAATTAATTTCAATTTCAAAGTTTTGCTCCCATTATGTCTAAACCAGGGCACGTCATCAAGTGTTCCTCTCTTTTTCATAATATAATCTATTTGAACTTGAAAATTTACGGAAGTATATTTTCGGATATTTTATGGAAATATACTTCTAAATTTTTTTTTCTCATTCACAAATGAATTTAGGGTGAGTCTCACTTAAGACGTGTTTTGTTGTAAAAATAGTGCGTCGGGAGATACATTTTCGGAATCTGAAGGACATTTTCAGATTTTCATAGGGTGTTTTTCCATCCTAAAGGATGCATTAAGATATGGCAATTTCTCATCTCATCCTTACTATATGGAGCGCACCCTTGAAATTTCAAAAATACCCTTGGGTAGATTTGGAGATACATATTTGAATGCACCCTTCATAAAACAAGCATCAAATTGGTTCGGATATGCATCTCTGAATTCACCTTGGGTTAATTCAGAGATTCATATATGAAAATATTCCTGAACCCATTTACTAGGCATTTTCATTGAAAATGGCGCAGTTGTCGAGGACTCTCTGTCGATTTTTACCAATATCAGAGTCATAGGAATTGTATCCTCGCATACTGGTCCTTGCGTTCTTACATTTCTGGCCTTTACGCAACCTAACGTAAAAAATTCAATTTTCTAAAAAATCGACTCTGAATCAAAATTTTACTGTGCCAATTTATCAGAAAAAAATCAGAGATCAAGATCTCGTATTTTGGAACGAAATACGGGATATCTCCCTAAAAACCCTAAATTCTTTATTTTTTATTTTATTTGATTTATTTTTCTTTTTCATATTTTCGACAAAATGCGGAAAAATTTGAAGACATTTAATTTGATTTTATTTAATTTTTAATTGTATTTTTAGATTTTTATAATTTTATTTTAATCGTTTTTCTATTTTCCAATTTTTTCTTCAATAGGAAAATTATTATATTTACATATTTGTTGCATTGTTGATGCATAATTACTAGATATCTCGATCCGGATACATCAAATAAACAGTGAATTTTTTGAATATGTATATCTGAAATGAATTCACCATTTTTTCGTAAAAAAATAAAATTTGTCCAGAGATGCATATCCGAAAATTTATTTTTTCATAAAAAAAAATAAGTTTTATTCAGATATGTATTTTCAAAATTAAATATTTTGTGAAATTAATAAAAGATTTGTGCGTTCACTCGGATAAATTTATTCATATTTTAAATTATTCTATTGAAATGTAATATGTAGCATTGGCTGTTTAAAACATTCTACTAAAATATGCTCTTGTTATAATATTGGTGCAAACCGGATAACAATGATGCAAACTGGATAACAAGACTCCGTCCCCGATCAATTTCCTATACCTTCCAATGAATTTGAAATATCTTTTGCATGTTCTCATCCAAATCCCTGTAAATAAGCAAGCAAAATATCAATCAAACAATTGTTTATCTAAAACATTAAATTAAAATGTATTCCAAAACCACAATCTGAAACGCAACATCAATATTATCAATGCGACTGCAATTTGAAAAATATTTCCAGTTTATGAGAATATATTGATAATTGCTAAAACTAATAAATTTGAAAATTTGTGGACAAAGTTTATGCAATGTAGTTTTTATGCATTTTGGGATATAATCCTAAAATTAGATTTGGTTTGGTTTCGAATTAGTTCTATCTGCATATGCAAGTTGAGATCTAATTATAAGTCATGTGAGTTTGTTCGGAGAGCGAAATTGTGACACAAGTTTTCATTCAACAGCGAATGCTTTAATACCACATCAGTGTAAGTATAATACAAATTTAAATAGTGAGTAGTGTGATATGTGATCTGATAAAACACAATTTTTTCTCTGCTAAGTTGAAAGAAAAAAAATCAAAATCTAACACTTTTATAAATTGGAATTAAAATTCGTTGTTTACAATATTTTCATATGCAAGATGATACTTTGATGTTATTTTGTCGAGACCGTTTCATCTAAAAATAAGTTTCTAGACTTATTAGTGATTATATGCAAATGATTTTGTGGACAATACTAAAAAGATTGGTTTCTTACTTTTTGCTTTATATTTGTTCAAATGTATTCTTAATATAGTAGATAACTCCTCATTCCCCTCATGAAAAAATATATATTTATTACCGTAGATTTACAAGTTGGTGATATAAAGTTCTAATTTTCTTATTATTATAAATATAAATTATAAATTGAGGAGTACTATTTGAACATTTTATTTAACACAGTATTGTTAAATTATAATCCAATGTGTCGAAACTATTTGTTGAAAAGATTTGATTTGTTTTAGATTTAAATAGATTTGATTTAAGTCTAGAATAAATTAGATTTGATTTAGTAACAAAAAGATATTTGGGGTTTTGGGCTTAGGGTGTAAGCTCAGTTATAAATAGACGGAGTAACCCTTACTTTTGTAAGTAAGTCAAACAATTCATTCACAGTATTTTGCAGTTGCAAAGTGAATAAGAAAATTTTCACAGTTTGTGAACAGAGAGAAACTCTGCAGAAATTATTTGTCTTGTCTTCTTTCTTTGTTTGTCTCATAATTAAATTGTCATTGTGGTAGAAATTTATCATAGAATTTGGTGGATTTCCAACATCTGGTATCAAGAGCTTTTGTTTCGATTCAAGGGAAGTGTCAATCAAGAACGATTGAAGAATTCACGATGACAAGTTATGGGAATGCAAATTACCCAGCAACCCTACCAATTCTGAAAGTTGACAACTATGAGAATTGGTGCAAACAGATGAAAGTCTTATTCAAGTGTCAAGGTCTTTGGGACCTTGTAAAAGATGGAGTCGAAGCGCTTGGAGAAAACGCTTCAGAAGAAGAAAAGAAGAAATACATAGAATCTGAGAAGCTGAGTTATAAAGCATTATTTATAATTCATCAATGTGTCAGCCCAGACAATTTCGAAAAGGTTAGTGATTCAGAATCTGCAAAAGAAGTTTGGGAAATCCTTGAGAAGTCTTTTGAAGGCGCTGAGAAAGTGAAAGAAGTGAGGTTACAAACTCATAAAAGGACCTATGAACTGCTTCAGATGGAAGACAGTGAAAGCATATCTGATTTCTTCACTAGAGTTACAAAACTAGTAAATCAAATCAAGATATGTGGAGAAGCGTTAACAACAAGAGTTGTTGTGTCGAAGATCTTGAGATCTTTAGCTCCTAAGTTCGACCACATAGTGGTGGCGATAGAAGAGGGGAAAGACTTGTCGAAATTGACAAAGGAAAAGCTTCAAGGAACGCTTGAATCTCATGAACAAAGAAAGAACGAAAGAGCTGCAGGAAAATCGAAGAGTGATGTGGCCTTGCAGGCACATTCAGCAAAAGAGACCAAAGGCAAAGGAAAGTGTTTCGACAGAGGTAGAAGTGGCTACAACAAATCGAATGGTAGAGGAAACCAAATTGAAGGAAACGTGTCGAATCAAAGAAGACCATACCAAGGCAACCAAAGAGGTGGTGTTGCAAATAGAGGAAGAGGTGGTGGTCGAAAACCTGATAAGAGTCACATTCAATGTTACAATTGTCAGAAGTATGGTCATTATTCGAGTGATTGTCCAGAAAAACAAAAGAATCAAGAAAGTGATGCAAAGCTTGCAAAACATGAAGAAGAAGAAGAAGAGATGATGCTGATGGTCACAACAAGAGATGAAGATAGATTCAAGGACCAATGGTACTTGGATTTAGGATGTTCATCACGTATGTCTGGAAGGAAAGACTGGTTCGTCAATATAAAGCCCTCAATGAAAAATATGGTAAAATTTGCAAATAACAATACCCTAGCAGCTGAAGGTATTGGTGATGTTATGATTATGAGGAAAGATGGAAAAATGTCAGTAATCTCCAATGTGTTGTACATAGCAGGCATGAAGAGCAATTTGCTCAGTATAGGACAGTTGGTCGAAAAGAATTATAAAGTGTCAATCGAAGATAAGATGATGAGAGTCGTTGATGCAAATGGGAGATTAATCTTGAAGGCTCCTATGTCTCAGAATCGAACCTTCAAGATTAAACTAAATGTGATGGAGCACAAGTGCCTTTCGACTGCAGCTAGCAGAGATGAATGGATATGACATTATAGACTAGGCCATCTCAACTTCAGAGACATCAGAGATTTGAAGAGAAGAAATATGGTTTCAGAATTGCCAGAAATCGACATTCCAAACGAGGTATGTGAGGAATGTGTGCAAGTGAAGCAACACAAGAATAGCTTCAGCAAGGATGCAGGAAGCAGGTCGAAGGCTAGTCTTGAAGTCATATACTCTGATGTATGTGGATCAATCCAGGTGGATTCGATGGAAGGTAACAAATACTTTGTTACATTCATAGATGATTTCAGTCGAAAGCTATGGACTTACCTGATCAAGAAGAAAAGTGAAGTGATCGAAGTATTTACCAAGTTTAAGTCTATGGTCGAAAGACAAAGTGGTCGAAAGCTCAAAGTTTTCAGAACTGATGGTGGTGGAGAATATGTGTCGAAAGACTTCGAAAGATTATGTGAAAAAGAAGGGATTGTGCATGAGGTGGTGCCACCCTATACTCCACAACAAAATGGAATTGCATAAAGGAAGAATCGAACCATCATGAATATGGTGAGAAGTATGTTGAAAGGCAAGAATTTACCTAAAGAGTTTTGGGGTGAAGCTGTTTCGACTGCAACATACATTTTGAACAGATGTCCTACAAAGAAGCTAGAAGAAATTACTCCAGAAGAATGTTGGTCTGGTGTGAAGCCTAGCTTGAGTCATCTGAAGGTATTTGGATCTATTGCACATAGATATGTGCCAGATCAGTTGAGAAGAAAACTTGATGATAAGTCAAGTCAAATGATTCTAATTGGATATCATTCGACAGGAGGCTACAAGTTATTCGATCCAGTGAAAAAGCATATTGTGATCAGCAGGGACGTGATCATACATGAGTTTAAAGAATGAGATTGGACTGAAAATATCAAGAAAGATTCAGTGGGAATCCTTCTTGAAGAGCCAGAAACTCAAGTCGAAAGAGAAGTTCGACAAGAGGAACCGGCAGATATACCAAGTACAAGCAGGCCTCAAAGAACAAGACGCATGCCTCAAGATTGCAAGATTGTGTGATTACATCAGATGATGTAATAGATAATGAAGGTGAGCTGGTACATTATGCTTTCTATGCAGATGTCGAACATGTTAATGCAGTTGAAGCATTAAAGGATTCGAAGTGAGTGAAAATAATGAACTAAGAAGTAAAGTCTATCGAAGACAACAACACTTGGTCACTTGTCGAATTGTCTCAAGGCAAGAAGGCAATTGATGTCAAGTGGGTATACAAAGTGAAAACAAATTCGAAAGGTGAGGTAACTCGACACAAAGCAAGACTTGTGGCGAAAGGATTTCTACAGAAAGAAGGAATAGTTTTCGATGAAGTTTTTGCACCTGTTGCTAGGATCGAAACAATCAGGTTGATTGTTGGTCTAGCAGAAATAAACAGTTGGCACATATGTCAGATGAACGTGAAGTGTGCATTCTTAAATGGACCCTTAGATGAAGAAGTCTATGTTAAACAACCAGTTGAGTTTGTGAAACATGACGAAGAAAGAAAGGTGTACAGGCTACATAAAGCCCTGTATGGATTGAAACAAGCTCCAAGGGCTTGGAATAATAAAATTGATAGTTTTCTAAGGGAGAAGGAATTTGTGAAGTGCACAACTGAACATGGAGTATATGTAAGAAGAAGCAAGAGTAAACTGCTTATACTATGTCTCTATGTAGATGATTTGTTGATAACAGGTAGTTGTAAAAGTGAGATCGAAGACTTCAAAGGTGATCTCAGTAAAGAATTCGAAATGTATGATTTGGGTGAGATTTCATATTTCCTTGGTATCGAATTCTACAAGAGCAGTAGAGGTTTGATGATGCATCAAAGAAGATATGCAGGAGAAACTCTCAAGAGGTTTGAGATGGAAGAATGCAACTCAACTTCGACACCTGCAGAACTAAGACTGCAACTGTCGAAAGATGTAGATGAAGATGATGTTGATCCAACCCAATACAGAAGACTTATTGGATCGTTGAGATACCTTTGTCATACAAGGCCTGACTTAGCATACAGTGTAGGTATGGTAAGTAGATTTATGCAGAAGCCAAAGGTATCACATCTAGCAGCAGTGAAGAGGATACTGAGGTATCTCAAAGGAACTTTCGATTATGGCATTTTGTTTCTTTCAGTTGATAAAGGAAAAAAATGCAAGTTAGTAGGATACACTGATTCGAGTTGGTGTAGTGATGCTGAAGATCGAAAGTCAACAGCAGGATATGTGTTTATGCTAGGTGGGGCACCAGTTGCTTAGAATTCAAGAAAGGAACCAGTAGTGGCATTATCATCATGCGAAGCAGAATACATAGCTGCTTCTCTTTGTGCATGTCAAGCAACTTGGATGGTGAATTTGGTCGAAGAGATAACAGGGAAAAATCATGGAGCAATTACCATGAAGATAAACAACATGTCAGCTATTAATCTGGCGAAGAACCCAATAGCACATGGTCGAAGTAAGCACATCGAAATGAGGTTCCATTATCTTCGAGAGCATGTAGCAGATGAGAAGATGAATTTGGAACACTGCAGAACTAAGAATCAGATTGCAGACATCATGATGAAGGGAGTACAAGTCGAAGTATTCAGAAAGCTAAGAGTCATGATGAACATAGATAGTTTAGACACAATGAATTAGGTGGTGTGTTAAATTGTAATCCAATGTGTCGAAACTATGTGTCGAAAAGATTTGATTTGTAGATTTAAATAGATTTGATTTAAGTCTAAAATAAATTAGATTTGATTTAGTAACAAAAAGATATTTTGGGCTTTGGGCTTATGGTGTAAGTTCGGTTATAAATAGAGAGAGTAACTCTTATTTTTGTAAGCAAGTCAAGCAATTCATTCACAGTATTTTGCAGTTGCAAAGTGAATAAGAAAGTTTTCACAATTTGGAAGTAGAGAGAAACTCTGCAGAAATTATTTGTCTTGTCTTCTTTCTTTGTTTGTCTCATAATTAAATTGTCATGATGATAGAAATTCATCATAAAATTTGGTGGATTTCCAACAAGTATATCAAACGTATACTATTTTCTCTATTTTTCTTATACTTTTTTATTTCACACTTACACAAATTCCAATAACACATTACTACATCTAAAAATTACACTTAATATATTTTGGCACTAAAATATCATTTCTCTTATAAATTATAAATATAAATTTTAAATTACTCTCTCCGGTGTTTTGCCACAGAGCATAGATAATTTGTATTCTTTCTTAAAAAATGTTATTCAACCAAACAAAGTCATGGTCTACAGTTTTACAGAAAAAAAAAAAAAAAACATATTCATCAAGATTAAAGTTTCAAACTATGGTACAAACCAACTTCGGACAAACAAAGATTCAGAGACTACTGTAGTAAATATGGAGGGAATGATTTTCCAACTCCCTGGGAGACTTACCTCTAACAGAAGCAATATATCTACCGGCCCCTCTATTGATAACATCTTCTATGTCAGCAATAGATATTTGATCCAAGCGATTGGCGCGTATGCTGACCATATAGGAAATTGAATGCTTGAATTCTGCATGTTAATGGAAAATAGTTTACATCTGATACAAGTACAGAAAATATTTCAATATAAGAAAACAACATTATAGGAGGCTTCAGATTGGCAGTTGAAATACCTTTCAGGAGTGAACGAACAACTGGTTGGGATGCTGAGGTATCGTCTACTTCTATGGCATCAGACGCTGAGCTAATAAAAAGAAAAACAGATGGAGTCCAATAATGGCCAAATAAATTTAAGAAATCAGGACAATAAAAGCCTTGATATTAACATGTTATTTAAACAAAATTTATGCAGTAATAATTAAGATATAAAGATGCTTGACGTGTATATTTAGATTCCACATAAATAGTATATACTAGAGGTGTTCGCGGTGTCATTTGAGCGATGTTGAAGCAAAAAATCATCCGAACTGTAAGGAAAAAAATATGCGGTTGGTTTAGTTCGGTTTTAAAAATAAACTAGTAACAAACCCGTGCTATCGCACGGGTCTCGTCTGGATTCACATTACATTTATAGATTATTAAATTATTAAGTATGTTACTATGTTTTCAGTTGAGTATATGTCTCATGTAAACCATGTTGACATTTAACTCCATATTTGTTTACTCCCGTCAAATTTATACTTTTATATTATATGTGCTCACATCTACGTGAGTTAACAAACTTCAGTTGAATCCTAATAAATTAATTTTAAAAATTTATTAAACATATTTTATATATTAATCCATTTTTTCAAATTAAAAATGTATGACATCTCCCGTCAAATTTCAGTTTTAAAACTTTTATATTATATCATATTTACATATTTTTTTACAACCTATAATGTATAACAGTTTCCCGTTAAATTACAATTATTTTTAAAAAGAACATAAAAAATAAATAAAATTTATAGATAAAACTATTGTATATTATTTTTTATATTTATTTAATGAATGAAATTTATTTTAGATGAATTTATTTTCTAATTTGTATTTAAAAATATAACTTAATTGTCATTTAAAATAGTACATTCAATTCTTTAACTTCAATTATCTGGTATGTCATAGATACATTTATTCTACCCGTGAATTTATTTCATGTACTCAGTTGGTTAATATTAATATAATTACAATATATAATCATTTATCAAATTTGAATTTCTCATTTATAAAAATAATTTTAAATTATTCTCGTTTATAAAAATGAACGCGTGTGTCTATTTATAAAAATATATGAAACTTATACTCTTTTATAAATATAATTGTATCAATACTTGAATTTTTCCGGTTTATAAAAATATTTATAATTTATTCATGTTTATAAAAATTATTGTAATTTATTTTTAGTTTATAAAATTAATTATATTAATATGTAGACTTTTTCTCGTTTATAAGTGTCTTTAACCCGTGTGACAATTTATAAAAATATTTTAACTTATTCATGTTAAAAACAATTACATCAATATTTGAATTTTGTTCGTTTATAAAAATATTTGTAAGTTATTTAAGTTTATAAAAATAATTATAAAAATAAATATTTACCATATCATCTTAAATTTATTTATTCAACAGTGATAAATATGTGTCTCTTAGTTAATTACATTTATAAATAAATATCGTGTATTAGTGATATATATTAAATTTATTATCTTAATGTCTAACTAATTAAAATGAATTTATTATTGTCAATCAAAAATTATAATATTAAATAATAATATAATATTATTATTATATACGGGAAAAAGAATAAATTAAATCTAAGAATATCGGAAAATTTATTATAATATTAAATAATAATTTAACATTTATTATTACAATGAATCATATATAACATTTCAAAATTATGTATTTATTTCTTATGTTTTATTATATTCGATTTGTAATAAATATTTTTTCAGTTTATTGCGAATTTTCAATAATTAAATATTAATGATATTATATAAAATTAATTTCATGAAATAAATTTATTTAATAAAGTGTTATATAAATATTTAATACATTATATTATACCATTAATTTATATAAAATGATATTAACTTATTCCTGTTTATAAAATTATTGTAACTTTTTTCCGGTTTATAAACATGTTGAATTCGTGTGTCCATTATTAAAATATATGTAATTTACTATTATTGATATAAATAATTTTATAAATAGTTTAATTTATTACATTTATAAAATTATTTGTAATTTATTCACCTTTATAAAATTAATTATAAATTATTTAATTTATTAAAATGATTGTATCAATAATTTTTTATTTTATCATAAATTTTTATGATTATCATTTATCATTAAATTTTCATGATTACCATTTAATATTTTTTTATCATGATTATAATTATAAAGTTAATTTGAAAAGATTATGATATATTTTAGTTTTTTCATAAACTTTAAAAAATTATCAAATCTCAATTGATTTTGTTTTGTTTTATTAACCTTTTTATAGAAATTGAAATAATTTATTTTAGGTCAAATAAGGATCTAAATAATTACAAAATAATATTTATTCTTACATTTATAGAATGATAAATTAAATATTTAAGATAAACATTAGAGTTCTTATTTACTTTATCTTTTATATATTTATAATATACTTTTTTGTTAATTTTATTAACAATATATTTATAGTTAACAATACATCCTTTAAACTACGTTATTTTTTTCAAGAATATAAATGTAACCTTTCAAAAAATATACACAAATATATTTAGAAGTCGGTAGAAAATTTTATTGGTTAAATTATAATTCCATTCAAAATTTATTGATCATAAATTTTTGAAATCAAATCATGCATAAAAATAAAATGTATTAATGTGACCATTCAAAATATTTTCTATATATAATAAAAATAAATAATATTAATACCTCTATTCAAAAGATATATTTGTAAAGTTTTGATTTAATTTTTTTCATATCTTTATATATTCTAATGTATATAATATTCCTACAATATGAAACAGTATCAAACCTATAATATTAAAAGAGAATTCACATTTTATTGATCATAATATTTTATAGAATCAAATCATATATAAAAATTAAATATATTTATGTCACCATTCAAAATAATTTTCATATAAGTATAATAAAAATAAATGATAATAATGTCTCCATTCAAAAGATATATTGGTAAAGTATCGAATTAAACGGTACTCCAATATTTGATTAAAAAATTGTAATATTTGTTTTTAATATTGTATAAAACATATTAATTAGTCGCACTTTAAAAAAATAAATCGTAAATATTTTATTAAAAATAGTAATATTTGTTTCTAAAATTATAGCAATTAAAAATAAAAAAATATCAATACAAAATAAAAAATTTATTCAAATTTCACGACAAATGAGAATTATAATTTCGATTCAAAATAAATTAGAATTTTGAAGGCACATCAACACCAACTTGTAGGTGTTTCCAGTGATTTCTGGTAAACAACCGCTAGTCTTCCAAACTATCGAATAGTCTTTATTAACGCTACTCAATCTCTCTGGTAACTCACAGGATCGACTAGATTGATCCTAGGACTCCTTGGATATTAAAGTTACTCTCACAATCGAACAATTATTCATGGTTGCTATTGTACAAGTGTTTGGTTTATTTCGATCCTTCTCTCTAAGAGTTTAAAAATGTGGTCAAAATGTATATGAAAACTAAGTTATACGAATAAATGCTAATTGTAATGCTGATTGAAGAGACATATAAAACTGTATGAAAAACGAAGTAAATGGTTTCGATTTGCAAAACATTTAACATAAAAGGTTTCTGGAATGTAGAAGTTTAAAATGTGAAGAAAGCGTTTAATGCAATTTTAAGTAAAAGGATGCGTTTGAAAAACAATACTTGGAAGTAAAGGTATTGAAAGCGTAACAGTTCTCTGAAATATAAAGTGCTCGAAATATAAAGAAAGCAATAAAACGTAAAACTTTGAGGAAAAGACTTTGAAATGAAAAGACAGTAAATAAAGAAACTTGTAAATGTTATTCGATAAAAAGAAAAGAGGAAAGTACTGGAAATGGTAAAAAGGCTTTCATTAAGTTAGAAATACATGGTGCTATCATACATACATCTCTCTTGCATTCGTTTCCCTTGCCATGTGGTAGTTTGAATGTTATTGAGTATTTTGTATAACAGATATGACACACTGAAATCCTAATACTAAGACTTCTATTTATACTAATTCGACCCTAACGGTCTTGCTATAGGATCATGCCATGTTTCGAACATGCAAGACAATGCTTCTTTCATCTTTCCACGTGTCCCCAAATGCTCCAACACATAACTTTCAAACTTTGAAAGTCCCGCTTCCATTTAAATTTTAAATGCTTTGGTGTTTCTCTGTTTCGAACGCTCTTCCCAAACCTAGCCTCGCTGTTGTTTCGAGACCCTTTTGGATATGTTCCCATAATCACCGTTCGAAGCTTCAAGCTTTGACACACTCATTCGAAACACTGCTTCTGCAACTTCGAAATATGGTGTTTAATTCCATTTCGATCAGAACTCTTAACCAATTTTAAATTCTAAATAACATTATCAAAATCTTCAGCCAACAAATTGCCCCTTTAAAATATGTATTTCGATCTCTTTGAGAAATACCTATTTTAAACATTTATACAAGATTTTGATAGGATTTTCGAATCATCATAACATTTAATGCCTTTGACTCCAGTCACATCAATCATAACACCTTTTGAGTTCCTTAACCGCCCAGAGTCACTTCACAGCGTGGTGCAGTTATAAGTAATGATTGTTTTTAAATCACGCCTATTACCTATATCAACTTCTCGCCACCTCTTCATCACACCAACCCATGATCTCCACGTATCACACTTTCACTCGGTGGATGTTTAATCTTCTCGTTATAAAACGTTAATTTACTCTTCCTTTTTCTTTTTACACTCTAAATCTTTCATACTCTGGATTTTTACTCTTCTTCTCTCACAAACAATCTAAGCTCTCAAACAACAAAAATGTCTTCCTCCACCTCTTCCCAACTCAAGAAAGTCTCAAAGAAGAAGGGAAAGACTACAGGAGCAACCATGGAGAGTAAAATCGTCACCATTCAAGGCCAATCTGCTCTTGCTCCTCAAATGATTTCCAAAGAAAAAGAAATGCTGTACGCATCACAGGTACTCATCCCTACCCATGTTGCTGGTAAGAGGTTAGCCTTAAATGGTCCTCTTACAGTTTTTGAAATACTAAAGGACACCAGGACAATTTTTCCCGTATGTTATAGCTTCAAACCTTTATTCAACAAAATGGATACCCCTAGGGTAGTAGAATCCCTCAGTTCGAATACCGCAGAAACCCCAACTGTTCCTCCCAAGGACCCATTTGTTTTGGATTATGTAAAAAGCAATTTTAAACCATTTAGATCTTGCCCTACTTCTGATATTGCCTATCAAAATTGGTTCGCGAAAGTAGAAGCCAAAAAATCCCAGCAATGGGAAGAACTAGGCATTTATAACCTCATTAAGCTATCGAAACCTGGATTCACCTATAGCCATCCTTTGCTGTTTGCGTCCCTTTATTTCTGGGATAGTACCTACAACACTTTCCATCTCCCAGGTGGAATGATTACCCCAACTTTCTTTGATATAGCGGCTATTACTGGGCTGTCGCCAGTGGGAGAAACTTATGTTCCTGACAACGAAGAACACTCCAGCATAATTGACTTCGAAGTCAAGTTAGCCAGCTTTTCCAAATTTATCAGCCATTATCATGCTGAAGGGGATAATGTGTCTGACATAGAGCATATTGCATTCTTAACCCTGTGGCTGTCTAGGTACGTTTTCTGCAGTAGATCCCTGCAGGTAGCTAGTAGGTTCATTCCTCTAGCTAGGGATTTACACGAAAATCGCAAAGTGTGCCTAAGTGAATTACTCTTAGTTGACCTCTATGAGAGCCTGAGGTCAGCCGTTTCGAGTCTCAAATCCCACACCTCTAAAAACATTCTATTAGCTGGCCCATTTTGGTTACTCCAATTATGGCTAAACGCCATGTTCGAACCTTCTTTACCAACCGCCAACACCATAGATGAGCAAGATTCAGAAATAAGTGATAGGATAGTCGAAGGCACTAGGCTTCGAAGACTAACTCCTAATGATGACAAGGATGACTTCAAGGTTCAATTCTCGAAGTACATCATGATCCTCTCCAAAAGGCATAAGTTCGAAGAGAGCATGGCGCCTTTTGCTTCGAGGACTCATGGACCCTCTTGGTTCACCATGGCTCTCTCAGAAGCCATCAAGAGCAAGGAGATCCAAGATGTATGGAGAGCTTTCTTGCTTCCTAGACTCATCTCTTCGAGGATAACCCCAGCTAAGAACCAAATTCTTCTCTTTGCCTACCAACCAAACTTCGTTTCGAGGCAGTTTGGCTTATGCCAACTGATTCCTGAACCTTTGTTCCAAACTGAGAGCGCCATTACATCTGGTCGAACTTTCAAGGCAAGGGAAGCCAAGATTCAACAAGAACAATATCAAGGCTTTGCCCAATTTGAGCTGATAGCCTTCGAACCTACTCATCTCGCGGCTAAAGGATTTCTGGAGTGGTGGATTAAGTTTTATCAAACTTGCATGTTCGATACACTTACAATTCGACAGAAACTAATTGATGCCTTCGATGTGCAGGTACCAGCAAAGAAAGGTATGTTTACTCATGCCAAAGAGATAAAAGCTTTTCAAAATTATTTTGAAACTACTTACGACCCCACGCGCTTGGACTCCACTGTGCATCAAGCAGCTGAGACCTTGAAGGAAAAATTTAAACAAAAAGTTTCTAAGCTAAAACTTCCTTCAGGGCTGTCACCTGAGGATAGGTATAGGTTGGCATTCGAAATGCATCCACCTAAATTTCCCAGATTACCTACCTCAGAACTGGCTCTGACTTGGTTTCCCCCATATCCATGGTGGTTTACTTGCAAAGAGATGTTCAAATATCTTCAAAGGAAACCAAAGCCATCTGAGACTGTGACATGGGCTCGACACTGACTTCATGATTTCCCAGGACATCTTCGATATGACCTTTCTGCCATGTCAATTAAATCTGATCAAGGCACAGGTGCGAATGCTTGGGAACAATCCCAAATGTCTTTTATTTTCCATATCTTTAACCTTTGCCTTAATTGTTTTGATTTTCAGCTATCAGGATAAAGACTGCTGCCTCGAAATCGAAGGAAGGGAGTGCCTCTCAAACCTCCATTGAAACTACTGAAAAAGCTAATCCACCCGAAACAACTGCTACTGCTGCAACTACAACAACAACAATAACGCCAACAACAAGTGCCCCAATTCCAACGGTAATCACTTAGTTTTTTGATGCTTCGAATTCACTCAAGCTTTTTATATCTAACTTCGTTAAAATTCGCTCAGACCAACAAGCTTCCTCCCACTACTCCTAAGAAGCGAAAACCAAGCACTACTGGGGAAGATCCCACTGCTGGAGGAAACTCAAATACTGCTTCGAAGAAGAAGCTAAAGAAAGCTACACCTAAAAGTACTGTTCCGACTAGTGTCTCTGGACTCGACTCCAGGGATGCTTCTCCCTTACAAAAATCCAAAAATCCACCTTCGACCTCCAACCCACAGTTGGAACGCATAGCTAGTAACCTCTCCTCTGAGGGCCCACAGGTAAATCGAACTTCCTCTAAAAATGTTTAACTTCTTATTACCTTGGTGAATATTTTTCTTTAACATTCTGCCACTCTTTGCAGAACATCTTGAATCCCACTTCTACCATTTCGACCTCACCGTCCAGAGCTGCTGCTCCGCTTAACTCCTCTCCTCAAGGAGATTCCAGCAATTTGGTCCAAAACAAAGGTTCTTCCAATGTGGCGGTTTTGGCTGTAACTTCTGAATAGCCAGATGATCAAGGTACCTCCATTCCTCTGAAAGAGGTGAACGAAACGATACTTCAAACGTCTGCAGAGGATTCACAAAGGGTTCTTCAAAAGTCCCCTCTTGAAACTCTTCAAGAGGACCCAAAGGATACTCAGGCTGAAGAAGAAAAAGCTGATTCTGGGCGAGAAATCGAAGAATCTGCAGGCGAAGAATCTGAGGAGGAAAACGCCAATGACGAGGAAAACGTCAATGACGAGGATAACGCCAATGATGGTTCGACTGCCGGGACGGAGTCTAACGCACATAGCGGCGAAAGGGATGGTATCGAAGTGGTAGATTTGGACGAAGATGAAGAAGAGCAAGAGCACGAAGCAAATGAAGGGGGTGGTGATGCAATCAACGAAACCCTAGAGGTTGAAACAAACGTGGTTCCCCTACGCGTGGAATTCCCCCAATCCTCTCCGTCTCGAATGAATGACGAGGAACTGGCACTTCTGAGGCGCAATGACCCCATTGGGTATATGAAGGCAAAGTTGGCTCAGAGGGATGTTCCAATCGCTAGGGCTGGCACAAGTTCAACCAGCTATCCTCTTCCCACAGATGAAAGAGTTGTTCTTCTTAACAAAATTAGGAGAACTATTCTCAATGTGGATATCTTCGAAGTGCTTAAGCAAGATAGTACTGCTTGCTATACTATGAAGGAGCTGCTCACAAAGGTTAATCTTTCCAACTGCTCTTTGCCAGTTAGTACTCTCTTGTTTGATCTTCAGAATTTGCTGGACAACGTAACTGGCTACCTTCTCCAAGACGAATCTGCTGCCAAGAAGGTTCACGAGAAACGCATTGCCATGGATGCCGCCTATGAACAAGCTTCGAAGCTTTCTCAAGAAGCTGAGGATCAGGCTATGCATCTGAAGCAGGAGAAAACTGAATATGAGGCTCGAGCTGAGTCCATTCTTATTTGGGAAAGGCAGATTCTGGAACTTCAGCAGAAAGTTAAGGAGGCGAAGGAACAACAACTAGCCTTCGAAACTAATCCTGCAGGTAACCAATTCGAAGAGCTTCTCAACCGGGGGCTTGCAGAAATGGAGACTGCAGAGCAACTTAAAGGAGAAGTGGCGACCTTGGAAGGTTCCAGGCGGTTTGCTCAGCAAAGACTTGAAACATTTCGAAGCACCTTTAATCGATTGAAAAATAATGTTTATTTCTAGATTTTTATGTCTGTCTGACCATAACTTTGGCTCTTTACATGTAATATTCGAACAACGCCATTTTGGCATTCTTATCTTGCCATCTTGGCTTTTTATAATATTTTGTTTACGTTGTTATTATTCGAATCTCCCGCAGGCTTGGCTTATATTTCTTTAAATATTTCCCATTAACCTTTAGGACTCGTTTATCATCCAAGAGTTCTTCGACTTCGTATGCATTGTTTGAGAATACTTTTAATATTCGAAAAGGTCCTTCCCAATGAGGTGACCATTTACCTAATGCTTTGTTCTTCTTATCCATAGGCAATATGACTCTCCAAACCAAGTCATTAATAACGAATACTTTTTTCTTCACCCTTTTATTGTATGTTCTGGCCACTCTTTCTTTTTG